AAAATATAGAAATAATAACAATATACAATGATAAAATCTCAAATTGGAATCAAATAAATTACCAAAAATGTCAACAGAAAAAGTCCGTCATGTCATAACAAAAATATGTAAACAAGGAGGGATTTTCCAAAAAACAAAACATTCAAAAATGATTCTACATCTGTCTTATCTTGGCCACCACCAAATGATGATCTGAAGCTATACCGGCTCGTCTCTTTTTTTCACCTGCTCCATGATTATTCTGAACGTCTTGTTGATGCATTTATTGTAGATCTCGTTCTGTGTAATCTAATCCTGTGGACAAATGAAGCTTTGTGTACGAATTTGTGTGGGAATATGAACAACATGTTGAAGGAACATAGGTTTGCAAATCTTTCACCGTCTTCGTTCCGTTCTTCCAGTACATGTCTTCTAGTCCATGTCGCCCCATAATGTCCTCATATTCACTGTTATAAATTCCAACCTTCACGTTTATTTTCTTGGCATTTCTCGACGATCGACTGCACCCCCTCATATAACTGATGTTTATCGACTTCATTGTTATTGCTGACAGGCAAATAAAACTGAATGACACTTTTAAATCCCCTCCATTTTTAAGGGTGCTTTGATGATCCCGGGTCGATGAGATTCTCAAACTATCATATCTTGTTATCCATATTTGTGCAGCACCAGGTGAGTGTGAATCTTTTTCATGTTCATGAATGGCGTATAACAGCAACCATTCTGAAGTTAATCTGTATTGTCCAGCCTGTATCAAATATAATCCACTGATTCCAAGTACCACTTGATTGCATCTTATCATTTCCTCTGCAACTTGAATGGTTCAGCTGATCTCCCACAATATACGTAAGTTCGATCTGACTCATGACTTACAAAGGAACTAGTCTCTCATCATGAAGCGTAAAAATACTTTTAAACAAAGACCTTTTAATTGACAGCGTCTTTCAGGGAGTTGGTTTTGTTAAGAAATAGGGTAACTAACTTATGGTCTAACCATCCTTCTTTACTAGGGCTTGGGACTGGAAGTATCCAAAGAAGGGTTACAGGCGGAGTTGATATTTGTTTCTAGTATTGATAGACTGATTACAGGAGTATTAGTATACACAGTTATCGAATATAATCACTGTCTTAAAAACTTCGATTTCATATCTGAAATCTGTAATACATTACCAATATCCTTGCTGCCCTCCCGCATTTCGTCATTAATTGGCTGTGCACTTTTTCCACAGTACATTCGAAGATTTTTACTATAAACTGATATCCTTAGAAACCAACATCTGCCGAACATCCTAGGATCTTCATAAATCGCTTGCATTGTGAGATGATTCGGTTCGCACAAAATTATCTGAACAATATTTTCCTATAAATTTCTTAAATATTCTTAGAAACCTGTATCTTACTTTAAAATCATTGCGGCCGAATTTTTCAGTCTGCCACTAACTAATCCAGCATAGCACAAATTAGCATAAGGCATTTGGAGTTGCACAGCAGAAGATACGGCAAATAATATTGCAGGTAATATAATTCATAGCTCAGCTGCAAACAACATTGAAAAATTCTTTAAATCGCCTCATCCAACCTCTAATTGAACAGAAAGTGCACTATGATGTACTCGTTACATGTGGCATTCACTATCGTTCTAAATCCATTTAATGTAACGTAATCCTTTCCGCCTTCTGTACATTCGCGCCATTTATCAAGGTTCTCTCAAGGTCAGTGTCACGATGTTTTAGTATTGTTGTCACTTCTACGTTCATTATAGTAGTTGCATCCACTTGTTTTTCTCCTTTAATATACTTCTTAAGTCGGAATAATCGTATTTTGTAACTTAAGTCTAGTTCCCTTAGTTTAGCGTATTCATGAAGGCACTCGATGCTATAATAACATATTAATTCGTTTGTTTATCAAACTATATACTACTTCATCTTTAATTCAAATGAGGTTGCTAATGTTTCATGCGAGGATTGTGATTGTTCATCCAAAAGTGAGAAATACTAATCTTTTCGCCGAGGAAAATGTTTTATTTATGGTGTGTGTAATCACTGTATATCTTCTTTCAGCCAACTGCAAGCTTTAGTCAAGTCTATTGGGCTAGTCGTCAAAGCACTCTTATAACTGGTGGTTTCATCGTGGTCAAATACGGTTACGAGGCCAAGAGTAGTCATGTACTGCGAGTAATTGAAACAAGCTTACAAACTTCAACACCTAATTTGAAATGAAAATATAATAGAGGTTTATCCAAGTCGAAAGAGTAGAATTTCGGTTGCATAGACCCATATTATGTATGCAATTACGGTGAATAGTTGTGAATACCGTCAATCCTGAGAAACTAATTGGTCTTAAATATTAGATGCTTATGAGAATTAAGATCCTTATTCAAGGTTAGCGGAACTATAGGAATGATTGATCTTAAGTTCAGCATTGTCATAATCATATGACCGGTATATGAAGAATCTTTGATTGCTTATTATCTCTTTGCCATATAAGTTTATTGGCATACTTTATTTTCATAGCTAACGTCTTATGGGGTTTTAGTTTTAGATAGGTAAAGTGGTCAATGTAATGAACAAAATAACGTTCATACGTAGTTCCTTTTCGAACTGGTCTTAATTTCTGATTGAATAGATCTACATTAAAAGTTGAGATTTTGAAATTTGACTTACAGTTTTGTTGAATTTTGCATTGAAGTGGTTTTCGATAAATAACGGTCTCTTCGATCCGTTTAACTAAATTTTGATATTCCTCGAGTCAGGCAGGTTGTGTTGGTTATATTTTCGCCATGTAAAAGTTTTTTAAACATGCTTTGAAGTACTGTTTGGCATTCTCTTTATCAGTGTGCACTAATAGAAACATATCTATTAGTTAAATTATATTGCTATCTCTTAAACATCCGATTAAACTGGGTTAGTACGTTCTTAAAAAGTCACAGGGGTAAAATTCAACATTCTAAGTTAGTTGAAGTGGAATTCGAAAGTGTATTTAGTGTGTTTAGATCACAAATAATTAACAGTAACTTCCCGGTTTACTGTGTAGATAAGTGCATTGATTTTATCTCTAAACTGTGACCATATCTTTTACGTCTATCACGGTAAGCCATGAAGAGCCGTGGAAGCTATAATGATCGACTTTCGGTTACTAGGCCATATGCTCTACTTCTACTTCACCCGTTTCGCTATAGACAATCGTCTAACATCATTGTCTGTCACGAAGTTTCACCTATAACTTAGCGTGGTTAGTGAAGTTTCAGATATTTGTCATTCACACATGCAGTTCGTTCGCTCCTGATATACCGAATCTACAACATAGAAGACTACCCTTCTGTTGGTCTGCTTGACCTCTACGTACGTAAAATAATACTTCGTAAATGGGAGTATCTGTAATAGCTACTAATAAATTGGTGATAAGTGGTTAGTAAACTATTATGTAAAGAAATTTATTCCATAATCATCTGTGCCTGTATCTGTTGAGATCACTGATAGATATGTATATACAATCTAATCGCTTAATCTGATTGAAATAAAAGTTGATCTAATAAGGCCATGCAGAAAGAGGACCAACACATGTCTATTAATTTTCTAAAATACGTGAAGAAATATCGTTCACTAAGTTGGAGTTTTTGTTCTATACGAATTTTTCTCAAGACTGTAAACGATATGACTAAAAACTACCAGTGAAGTTTTACATATCTGGTAGCTTACTTTCTTCTTACGTGCCTATTTGCTGAGGAAATAAATCTTTAACGCTAAGAACCTAAGTTACTTTCTGTGTACTGTTCTGATCAGGAATACTTCATATTCCTTCTTATTTAGCCGTAACTTGTACTCTTTCACCACTTGAATCTATCTAAGTCAGCTAATACTGATCTCTAACATTTCTGCTCACACTAACTACATTGTGACGTAAAGTGAAGGTAAACTACAGTCGGTAACTATTCTGTTAGTCAGTTACAAGGTAAAACTTCGTTCGTATGTATATAGGCTCAAATTGACATACCACATTAACAGACACACCATTACCAAACCAAATCCCATGGTTAAAGAAATAGTAGAAGCATTAGCGGTAATGGAAAAGATTAGGGTTCGAAGATATTATTCAAGAAGTATGATTCAGTGAGATAAATTTAGAAAGAGAAGGATAGAGAAGATGAGGACTTCAGAAGATTAGAATTTCAGAGAACATCAATAGTGGATGCACTTGCGCAACTACAAACAATTCTGAACCATGTCATTCAAGGTCTCTAACCATCGATTACTATGTTCTCGCTGACCGCAACCAGGTAGTCTACATCTACCCACATAAATACATCCACTTGTTAGTGATTTCTTGGATTTGTGCCATGTTTTGGTTTGGCCAATCCTAGCTTTGTTTCAACATACTTCTACAGCACAAAACATAGCTCGGCGAGGCAGTCGGTTGTTGGGTATACGTAACACATGTACCAACCACCTCAACTGATGAAGTTTCAATACTTCATATACTGATCTGCCATGCTTACCTAGCACCCGTTCCCTAACCACAGCATTGCTTACTCGATATTCGCAAGACAAACGAGCAATGATTCAGAGACACCTATGATCGAATACTAGTAACCTGCGAATATCTACTGTGACTGGCGTTTCTTCACAGCCATAAAGTAGGACGGAGCGAACAGCTGCTCAGTAGACCAGTCTTTTGGTTAACAGACGCATATCTTGCCTACACCAAAAGTGACACGAGTTGTCAAAGACCAGTCAAGTCTTCTGTATCCATGCTGAGATTTGGTCAGACACCAAGCCATCAGCACTTGTGAGACTGCCGAGTTAAGTGAGGCGGTCAACACGCTCAACTGCTTCACTCCCCATCACTAGTTCAGGTGCCTATGCAAGACTATTCGGAAGCAACATTTTGCATTTCGGTGGGGGGGGATGCAGAATCGCATACCAAACACGCTTGCATTGTTGCTTAAAATAGTCAAAATACTGCATTTTGTCAGCGTCGTCACGAACTAGAACTATATCATCGGCATATTTTAAGTCAATAAGCTTGTTGCCTGGTAGACGGTCGACCCCTGAAAAGTCAGACGAATATAATGTTAACTTTAAAAGCATGTCTGTATTAAAGTTAAGCAAGAGTGAAGAAAATCGACAGTCCTGAAAAACACTATAGTGGGACGTCGAAATTCGTCTATGTTCCTGGACCTGACGTAGTGTGCATCCACGTCAGGGTCTGAAACCAACCTGGTTTTATGGAGTCCGCTCTTCACGAGTTCCAGTCAGGCGTCTACGTATCATCGAGGCTAACAATTTAGACACTATATTATTTAAACAGATTTCCCTGTGATCGTCACTAGGAATTATGTCCTTTTTTCTAAATTGGGACAATAGATGATTGACACTAGTCAGATGGGATTACACTCAGTTCCCAAATTCTACCTAAAATCTCAGTCAATCTAGCTGCTAAAACTGAACCGCTATCCTTAAAAATCTCAATGGTTAGTCTAACAGGCATTAATGCTCTCTCGCTATAGATTTCCTATAGCTTTTTCAAGAGTCGGAGGACTTATATCAATTTGCCATTCAGAGTGATTGGAGATCGTAGTCAACCGAGGTGTGGCCGATGGCCAGTTGAATTGATCCCTAAAGTGTTCTGCCCACCAACCCAATCTCCAGAATTGACAATAAACGCTACTAACATACTTTCCCGAGATGGTTTCGCTAACAGACGGATCCCTTATACTAGGAACCCATCTGTTTTTTTATGTGACTAACTGCAAACGATAGAAGCACGTCTAGGAACTTGCTAGATATTATTTTACTTCATACAAAAGTGTCACAGACAACTATCCTGTTTCTTTGCAGTTAGTCGCATAAAAAGACTTATTTCGATTTGCACCACATTGTCCATCCAGTGCTATCAGTGTTTTCTATCCAAAATGGATCAGCTACCTCAATAATAAGTCTTAAATTTTTAAATTGGTATAATTGTAAAGATTAGTTTGTTCATATTTCCTTTTATACTCTCATTCTGACTATTCCCTTACAATTCGAACTAAATACTTGATTTCAAACATTAAGGTATCCAACAAATGGAAGTGGACAGTAATGTTGATATCAGCAATGTGACTTCTGGAACAGGGTCCGCATCAGTGCTCCTACATCCACTCGTTATTTTAAATATATCAGAGCACTGGACTCGTAACAAAGTGAAGGAAAACTCTATCGCTGTTACAGTATATGGAGCTTTGCTCGGGAAACAAGAGGGTCATCATGTTGAGGTATGTGCATTTATTGAATACATATTATTACTCTTCTGGCAGATATCGAATTCCTTTGAGTTATTACTTGATGAACCACATATGTCAGTTAACTCTGAGTTTTACAGCACTCGTGAATCTCAATGCAAACAAGTTTATCCAGATTTGGACATAGTTGGTTGGTACACCACTGGTGGTGCTATAAATGAAAAAGATGAATTATTCAACCGACAGGTACAGTATAGCGATATTTGTTGATGCATGTTTTTAGATTTTGGAACTTAATGAATCTCCTCTCATATTAAAACTAGACCCTCTACAAACATGCGGAGAGAACCTACCGATCCGAGTTTATGAGTCAGTAGTAGATAACGATGGAAGAGTCCACTTTAGACAAGTACCTGTTATTTTTATTGTATATATTTGTTATATTTAATTTAATCTGTCCTAATTTTTTGAAGTATTCTTCTAATAATGGTTCGTAACAATACTTATACCCTCTCAAATTGTCTTTTGTCTAGCCTCAAGTCATTTTTATGTAACATACAATAGATTCTTTAGATAATTATCGTTTTAAAATGAAGTGATTTTATCAATCAAATGGTTTGGCTTTTAGACCACTCTATACTATATGGATGGCGTGTTATGAATTTCACAGAAAACTGAGTGTGGACATTCCATTAAGTTACGTCCACTTTTAACACCTATGAATTTCTACATCATAAAAAACCGGTCATATTGCATCCAACTTCGTCACTGACCATACTTGAGCAATGTTTCAAAAACATCTATGACCGAATGCTTGCCGCATACGTATATCTTCTACACCATCTTTCGCAGCCGTGAAGAAGAAAATAACAAAATTCCTCGGATTTTATCCACACCCCACAGGCTTGCTGAATCCATATTTAGATTTAGTTACCCATCAATGATGGATCATCTGTTACATTATCATATTTCATTCCATACTTTACTCCTCCTACTGACTGTTCGTTATCTCCCAGCTATTCTGTTTAAAGCATCAGCTTGTTTTTATCTCATAAAAGTACTTTATACATGTAGATTGGAGGTACGTATATCGAACATTTACGAATACATCGCATATGATTTGATACCATACTTAGTTACTCGTATCGATAAATGTTTTTAAGCTTAACCTCATCACTAGTAATGTTACATCCTTAATTTTGATAATAAATTCATATCCGAAAGCTCACCACTTACACCAATGGATATTTCTTATTTCAGGTACTATACACTTTAGCGACTGATGAAGCAGAACGCATCGGTGTCGATTATGTCGCTCGTATATCTATGTCGTCTACTGACCAAACTTCATCTATGGTAAATTTTTTCTATTTCTTTGAAATGTGGCGATATCTTACTAATCTTTATCCACATATATAATCCAAAGCACACTCTAAAATTATTATATTAAAACCTTTTCCGAAGTCGGGCAACAGGAAATGATGCTAACTCTCCACCACAAAAAAATAGTTCCTCGTATTTCCAGTGTACGTATAATTTTTATGATTACTTATAATCTTTGTGAAGACAAATCTACTGTCTGATCCTCATTTCTATCCATAATCTAGTATCATGCAGCGGTTTTATCCCGAAAGATCCAGGTGAACATACAGTCGATTTGATAAACTATCAGAGTTCAACCAAATAGATTCTGGAATGTAAAACCACCAGCTGAGTGACTATGTCAATATATATTAGGATATTCAAATTATTATCCATATCTATAGTCAACTCAATTACTATGTCCATGATTAAGTGACCAACAGAAATAAGCTACATGCAATGTATGCCATAAATATAATTTTTAAAATGATCGACGATATGTCTTAAGAACTTTATCAGAATGATAGTTGCAAGCATTCTTGATGAGAACCTCTAAATCGTCTTAAGGCTTCAGCTTTTGTTGAAAAACATTCTGAATTTCACCAAGGCACTTATACTTGAGTGCCTTTAAGAAACAGAATACTTTTTTCCCTCATGTGAGAAAATATTTTGCCGCTTACGTTTATTGAATTCATTTGAAGAGTTTGTTGTCAGTGCGTTGATTAATCTCTGTATGTTTTAGTATGGTGCCTTACTCCTAGTTTGTGAAGTATATAGTACTGAAATTTCAGTCATACGTTTATTTCGAAGACTGTTTAGACCTCTGTTCATCTATTACTAACGCACCTCTATATACTTTTATTGTAGACTGCCGAACATTTACTTGGGAATTATTTGGCCATTCAAATGTTAAGCAATCGTCTTCAGCTAATAAGATCTTATGTTGCAGCTGTTGCAGCAGGAGAATTACCATCGAATAGAGCACGACTAAGGGAAATCAATGCTTTGGTTAAACGAGTACCTTTTATGCTTTCGTCTTCAGCAGCCGAACAAAATGACAATTTATATCGTCAAGCCAATGATGTGTGTCTAACAGCACTGCTTGCCAGCATAACTCAAGGCTTACATACACTCTACGGTTGTATGGTTAAAACAGCTCACATTATAGATCGCCGATCTATTCCTTTGAGTGTGGGAAGTGGAATAATGGACGCAAGTTCGAGTCGTTTTGCCAAAGCTTCCCACTCAGTGAGTAATTCTAATTGAAGAAACAAAATACATTGCTGATCGAGTCAGCTTAAGCTATGTAATCTAAAAATAGATTTCCTTATTTGTACATACTGACATCATGGTTTTCTTAAATTCACGATAATACAGTAATATTTGACTACGTTAGTTTGTATATGATCTTATACTGTATTGAGATAATTTTCACAATTTCGACAAGTCCATGATCTTTCTGTTTTAGATTCTGATGCATCATCCTTGTCATAGCCGAAATTCAACATCAGTTCACTAATCTGTCATTATGAACTAGAAAAGGTAAATATAGCTAAAATTTAATTCTATACTCCTAATCGCTGAAAATGAAGGTCTGATAAAACCTTTTTTAACTATTAAGATTGATCCATCTATTCGTATGTTGGTCTGTTGTGATTGCTGCTAAAGATTTGAACTGGTTTCACTCTTATTTTCACCATGGTTTCAACTATGAAATCAATCTCTCCACCTCGATAATAAATAGCTTCCTCCAAATGTTCGGTTCTTGGAAATGAATAAACTATCTAATAGACGAATAAAAATAAGCTGTATGTAACATTGTTAAATAATGTTATGAGTGTATTTTTGTTTGAGTTTTTCTCAAAATATGATTTCATACCCTGAAATATATAATATATTCCAGGACCTTGAAATATCTTCGAAAGTTCTATGTATTCAATCTCCTCATCTGTGATAGCTGTTGTTTGCAATTTTTCTCTCAGTCACTCTAATCCCAAAACATCATTATATATACTAGTAATCCTCACGAATAAATGTATCGAGAAGTAAACTCTAGGTAAGCACTGTGACAATTGTTACTTGTGGACTTTGTAAACAGATTTTTTCTTGTATATAGTTACTACAGTAGTTGAAATCGCTTCATGATATTTTGTTTCGTAGTTAGAAGTAAACAAACTTTTGCTCATGTATTATAAATCCTCAACCAAAGAACTTAGTGACTATTAGTATGTTTACTTCAGAACAAAGATACCATTTTGTACAACTTTCCTTTTGGTGACGATTTTAAAACGGAAAAGAATAATTCGGCTTTTATATTTTACTGTAATTTGTAACTGCATTAAAAAATGAAATTAAATGATAGTTAGTTTCAAAAATTGATTCAATTTGTCAGTTGTGAAATAAGTACCACAGCAATTTTAGAAACTAATATATATATTTTTTTCTACAAGTTTTTGTATAATTCTAGACTAATAACTGGTATTGAAATCTGGAAGTAGAAATTATTAACTTCTTCCAATCTTTTCAAACTCATTATTTCGGAAAACAGTTTAAAAAAAAGCGATATTCAGTTATTGTTTCACGAATTCTGACAAAAAGTTTTGAGTTATGGTAATTTATGTATTAAATCAACTTTGAAATCAAAATCTCTCGACTCTGTGATATTAAAAAAGACAAAATAATTTGTACGTTGTTTATCAAATGATAGTATACCTTGTTGAAGTGTTAAAAAATTTGCTTCACTTTCGGTTAACACCTTTAGCAATCTATTACATGGAATTGGAGTTAGTTTAAGCGTTTAACGCATTTTTATTTTATGTTCTGACTGTCCTAAAATAATGTAATTTTCAATGTAAAGCTGCTTAACTTTAAGATTGTTCTGCGTGAATAGTTAATTGTATTATTCGTCCTTATCGGTTGGTATAAGTCAGTTTTACGAAGTCAGTGAAAGGCAGAATTCCAAACACAGTTCCCCCTCAATGACGATACAACCTAGTAGTGAGAAGGAGTACTCTGCTTTTCCTTCTCAATAATTTCTATTTCATTGCTACTCGATCTTAGTCAATATGTTTACAGTCACTCAGCTACAACGTTGGAATTCGTACGTACAAGCATCAGTTTAAGTTGCCATACCACATTAGTAGACATATAGAATCATCAATTCAAATCCCATAGTAGTAGAGGTAGTAGTACTGTTAACGGTAATGAAAAAGATTAGGGATATAAAATACGATTCGAGAGTTATATCTCAGTGGAATCAGATTATAAGCATCAAAAAAGTCAAAAAGAACACATAAGAATTTGAGATAACATAAAGAATAGATGCACCTACGCTATTGCAAATGGTTTTGAGCCACGTCATTTAGGTTTTCTAACCATCGATTACTATCTATCTTGGGAGTCTTATCGGTGCTGACAGCCTGGTGTCTGACCAAATCTCAGCATGGATACAGAAGACTTGACTGGTCTTTGACAACTCGTGTCACTTTTGGTGTAGGCAAGATATGCGTCTGCTAACCAAAAGACTGGTCTACTGAGCAGCTATTCGCTCCGTCCTACTTTATGGCTGTGAAGAAACGCCAGTCACAGTAGATATTCGCAGGTTACTAGTATTCGATCATAGGTGTCTCTGAATCATTGCTCGTTTGTCCTGAGAATATCGAGTGAGCAATACTGTGGTTAGGGAACGGGTGCTAGGTAAGCATGGTAGATCAGTATATGAAGTATTGAAACTTCATCAGTTGAGGTGGTTGGTACATGTGTTACGTATGCCCAACAACCGACTGCCTCGCCGAGCTATGTTTCGTGCTGTAGGAGTAGATTGAAACAAAGCTAGGATTGGCCAAACCAAAACATGGCACAAATCCAAGAAATCACTAACAAGTGGATGTATTTATGTGGGTAGATGTAGACTACCTGGTTGCGGTCAACGAGAACATAGTAATCGATGGTTAGAGACCTTGAATGACATGGCTCAGAATTGTTTGTAATTGTGCAAGTGCATCCACTATTTGTGTTCTCTGAAATTCTAGTCTTCTGAAATCCTCATCTCCTCTATCCTTCTCTTTCTAAATTTATCTCACTGAATCATACTTCTTGAATAATATCTTCGAACCCTAATCTTCTCCATTACCGCTAATGCTTCTACTATTTCTTTAACCATGGGATTTGGTTTGGTAATGGTGTGTCTGTTAATGTGGTATGTCAATTTGAGCCTATATACATACGTACGAAGTTTTGTTTTTCAGCTGTTTGACTGATTTTTTAACTACCACCGTCCCTACGGTTGATATTTGTCATTAAGTGCTAACCTGATGGAAGTCAAAGTCTTGGGATCAGTCCATTATCGGTGAATTAGATGTTGTAGCTCCTTGTGAAATATAGTCCAATCACAAACGAACCAGTGATTAATCTGGTTCTTAATCTAAGATTACATTAAATTCCATTTTAGATAACTGGTAATATTGTGTCAGTGTGTTGACTCATAATTACTTTGATACTAATTAAATCCAATTGTTTCAATCATTAAAATTTTTTGATACTAGATATTGGACTAATATAATCAAGGCCGTGGTAGTACTTAACTATCACTAAATCTATAAATCCCTTGAATGGCTAGCTTGAAATCAAAAATAACTATGTGGTGATCATGATTTTCAGTTAATTTAGATCGATAGCTATTAATCATTTTCTGGTTAGTGGTACTCTCGTTGTTATCCATGATTTTACTGCTATTTTTCTGTGGAATTATAGTGGTATAACCACCACTCACCAGTTGGAATAAATGTATTTGAAGTTATTCACTTTTCTTGTCATCTTCCTTTTGATTTGCTTCGTCATTATCCCTGGAAATAGCGAAAAAAAATATTAAAAAACTTATTATGTTGATTATGCTTACTCATTATCGTCTTCTGGCTTTGTCTGGTCACTATCAGCTGTTTCTTTATTCAATATTAGCTGATCGTCGTATAAATGTCGGTAGTCTCCAAGAATACCTATCCTTTTTTAAAATTTTCTCTGTATTATCATTAATAACATACATACTTTTCATTTTCTCCATCTGCATTAATCTCATTCATATGTATCCTTCAAAAATAAACATCATTGATTATCGAAAATGTCTTTTGTTATGATTACTTTCTTTGATTATTTTCAGTTTTATTCGGGTGAATCCTAGAAACGTTTTCTGCTGCATCAGGTAACAAAAGCCTTAAGGCTGGAGAGCATTTACTTGGAAATTAAAACAGTACTATTAATCATACTTTAGCATTGATGCTCGGGGTAAATGTGTCTGATATATTTTGTTAATATTCTTACACTCATCTTTTTGACCAAAATAAGAAGCTCCTTGTCGTCCAAGCGAATTGAACATCTCTGATCTTGTAAACCTATCGGCAGAAAAGAAAGTATTTCAGTTTTGAAAAAGACTTTTATATAATTCGATACATATCTACAAATGTGAAGCTTTGCTAGCCCAATAAGAATGATATCCTTGTT